ATATATATATATATATATATATATATATATATATATATATATATGTGTATATATGTATGTATCGCACGAGACACCCTCCCCCCCGAAGTTCTGGCCAGGGGAGAAACTTACCGATCACTACAGCGACGGGACGGGTCCTCGGGGTGAGGTCAGGACTTACGGCAGGGCGAACTGAGAGGGTGAACGCGGTAGGGGCGGAAGGGGGGTTAGTAGGGTGTACGGTGGAAAATACCTATTTGCTGCCGCGGTCCCGCAGGATCAATCTCTTCGTCGGTGGCGCTCGGTTCGGTTTCTTGGACGATATTACACTCGGGGACGGGAATAATGCGAGGTTTGATCGGGCGTTCGTCGACGAGTAACCGCAGCGCCGGGGATGGATGTAATTTGCAGGGAAAATGATCGCGTAATAGTTCGCCCGGTGTGTATGCGACGCGCTCTCTCCATCGTTGTGTGACGTATAGTCGTATTAATTCCGGCGGGACCACGGAGAGAGGGGGGGGGGGAGAGAGGCAGACGGGAGAAAGAGAGAGAGGGAAGCACATACAGGAGAAGCGTCTTACTCGTTTTTGCCCTTCGGACAAATCGCTCGCGCCAATTCTCGTTTGCTCCACGTGAAGTTACGACAAACGAATTGCAAGCGCTGTCAGATCAATCTTAATCTATCTGTCGTGGGTATCGTATAAATGTTTAATTCGCACGGTAACGTAGAGTAACGCTCGAATTTTTTTTCCCCAACTCGGACATCGCATCGTATTAAAAGTGATGGTCGACATGTTCGCGCGCGAGGTGTCGGTATTTGCTCGGCAATTCAGCGCGCTGAGGAAATTTCAAGGGGGGCGGACAGGGACGGAGGATCGAAACGGTTCGGCTTCCCGGACGATATTACCGCGGTGAGCGATGAAAATAACGCGAGCTCTCCGATTGGGCGCGCGGCCGCGAGCGATCATCGACTTCCCGAAACGTGTAATTTACAAGGAGAGCGAGATAGAGCGTAATGACTCGTTGGAAGCGCCGCACGTTGACGCGCCTCAGGTTCCTCCTCCCGCGTGGCGAGGCGATGCAAAGCACCACCGCAAATTACACGTGCGATTACTCACTTAACGATTTAATCCGCGAAATTGCACGGTCCGACGACGATCGTGTAATTCACGCGAGGAAATTGTAATTTATATACGCGCCGCGATACGAGGGGCGAGGGGCAAGACGAAAGGAACTTTACGGTGATACGAGCGAGCGCGTCGAGAAAAAATCGAGTTCGGTTGGATCTACCTGACAATGGGACGATCAAACGTGTTTTGCTCGAAGGAAGCGGAATTTCTAGTTTTCATTAATCGAATTTGGTTCTTATCGTCGGAAACTCTGTTCTCTTTTAAATCCGAAATACGCTTGGTTGTCCAGATAAATCCGATCAAATCCATTTTTCAGTGTGGTAGATACGCTCTGTTCGCAGAAAAAAAAAACGCCCAAACCCTGAAAGAGAGTGTAATAGAGTGATTTAATCGTGAGTGATTTAGTCGCGCGATAGACAAGTCCAGTAAATTATGCTGTTGGTATGTTATATTATTCAACAATAATTTCTGCCGGTAGTACCTTAGTCACCAAACATTAATATATAATCTTACTTGATATTATGTGAAACACTTGAAAATTAACGACAGAGAGAGAGAGAGAGAGAGAGATTCCACGCACGTGCGCGTCCGTCCGTTCGCGTCATGGAAAACATCGTACGCCTGTTTCCGGGCGGAGAACGAGAGGGTACATGCGATATACCATACCGATCGGAGGCTCGCGCGTTCTCCGAAAGCGCTCGCCGAGAGCGCGCCGTCTCGTCGCCAATGCAAATCTCTTCTCATTGCAATGCGCCTGCACTTTGACAGTGAAACAATTAAGTAACGGGCTCGCGCTCGCTCGGCAGCACAACGACGCATCGTAGTCGAGAGAGGGGGAGGGGTCCGACAATTAATTCCTCGCTTAAATCGATTAGACCTCGACCGAAATAGCGACGGCACGAAGCCACCTACCTAACAAATACGGCCGGAATGCCCATCGCGGATGTTATTTGCAATGAAAATGATCGCGTGATCGCACCGGCGGCCTAAGTAAATCCTCGCTGTTACCTGGCCGTCGCCGTTGTTCCTTTCGTTAACGATAACGACGCGGCAGCGTGGTCGTCGCCTTAATAAAGCGCCGGATAAGCGGCGACGGGAACGATACGGAGCGACTACAAATGCAACCGACCGTATGCTTGCGCTCTCCGCCTTGTCACCCGGCGTGCAGCGAGAGAAAAAAAGGGGGTGCGTGTCGGCGCGCACTTATAACAATTGTTCAATTTATCTCGGGATATAACGATTAGACGATTCACGAGACGAACGAGCGAGCGGTCGGAGATGAGTGAGAGGTCGCTCGCGACCCGCGAGGACGTCCCTGACGTGGATTAATTGCGGGCGGTAACTCGAGAACACAAATCCTGTTCTCGCGTTTGCCCTTTACAATCTTAATTAGAGATACGCGGGGAGGTCCCGGTGTATTGTTTCGACAAACGACCGTGCGGAGTGATCGGGTGGATTTAAGCGCTCAGCGATTTTGCGCGAGTGTCAACATTTTTCCTCTCGCAACGTAAGATTTCCCTTCGTCGCTGATTGGGCGATTCTACATACCGCGGTTTGTATCTATTTCTTAAAGTGCTCGGAGAAATGGGGTGAAGGAAATTAGGATGGAAGCACCCTTCGGTCTTCCTATCCTTTCCGCGAAGAATATACAGTTTTCAAATGTCTCGTGTAAATAGTCCGTGCGATTTTTACGTGACGCTCGTAAACGATCGCACTATCTGACAGCTTTGTCTCTGACAAGCGATATTTAAATTCCGTTTTTAAATTCCGCTGTAATTTCACGGATGAAAGAACGTGTCACACGTTTAGTTTCTTAAATTACTAGCTAAGCTAACGGAGAGAGAAAGAATTGCAATTTAGTCCATTTCCTTACGTCCATATAAAATCACATGGAACGCTTGAGCATATAAGAACGCTTATTAAATCCTATAATGGCACATCTTGCGCGCGAAACGTTGTTACCGCTGATCCATATCTTATTTCTCCTCCTCTCTCCCTCCCCCCCTCTCGCTCTCTCTCGTTCCTTTCTCTCTCCCTCTTCTTGCAAGCTCATTTTGAGATTGCAGTATCGTCACGGTGAAATGTGAAAACCGATACTTTGTGCATGCTCTCGTTCTCGACAACGAGAAAGGTAACTGGCTCGCACACATCGAATCGTAATCAGCGTCGGCGAGCAGCGCGCGCATTAAACGTCGAACATTCTAATTAATCCACGTTGTCTCTTTTACATCCAACGAAGCGTAGCGCGCGTCGTATTTCGCACTTGCTCGCTCACGCATCGTGATAAAAGGCAAGAGAGAGAGAGGGAGAGAGTGAGAGAAAAAAAATCCAGGCGCGAATGGCGTTTTAATGTGCGAGTGGATTCGCGCGTGTATGCACACACGCACGCACGTGTGCACGCGGGCGTGCAATTCTACGTCGCCACGCGTTGCAGCACTTCTAATAGCTACTATTATGCGCGTATAATGGGGGTAATAGCTGCGACTCCGGATAAATCGATCACCATTACCGCTCCTATTACCCGTAACGACCGTTTCCGAGGAGACCTGACCAACTCTACCTCTCTCCTCTTTCTCTCTCTCTCTCTCTCTCTCTCTTGTTCTCTCTTTCTCTCTCTCTCCTTCCGTCTCTCCGTCTCGCTCGCGGCTTCCAGGTGAGAACAGCTGCAACTCGACCGGCGGCGGCAGCGACGAGGAACTGGGCGCGGGCTGCGGGGACGACATAAACGGCAACGGGGGCAAGAAGAAGCACCGTCGCAACCGGACGACCTTCACGACCTACCAGCTGCACGAGCTCGAGCGGGCGTTCGAGAAGTCCCACTACCCGGACGTCTACTCCAGGGAGGAGCTCGCCATGAAGGTTAACCTCCCGGAAGTTCGTGTCCAGGTGAGTCACCCGCCTACTCGACGAGCTCGACCGACCGACCGGCCGTCGGTCGGGGAAACAAGCGTCGCTTTTTTCATTTCGTCGCGCGATTTTTCGCCGAATACGGAAGGTAGCCGCGACGAAGACGGAGAAGGTAGAAATCTGTGGCGAGAAAAGGAACTTTTTACTGATACTCGCTCGGAGGTCTCGTTTAACGAACCGGCGTCGAATCCTGTTGAAGTTAATAACATCGACGAGCACACCGATATCTCTATCAGCCCCCTCCCTCGTAATTAGCAGTGATTAGCAATTCCGCAACACGGCGAAGCGGCGCGGAAGATCGACGCGTGCCGAAGAGTGCGTGAAAATTAAGTTAACCGGGCGGCACAACTTCGCGATTCGCGCGTAAAGAAGGAAGCTTCTTATTTTCTTCCAGCCGCGAATCCACGAGCGACACGCACACCGGCTGGAAAATTTATGTTTCCCTTCGAGGTACCGAAATTTGACGAATGTGAATGTCGTGTTCGACGAACGGCCACCGGAATACGGAACGGTGGCGTTTCCGTGCAAACAATCGGAACGACAATCGCTGCCTGGCGCTCTGGGCCGGCGTATTAAACTAAATTAAATTAATTATGTGCGTGACAGCGATAAAAGCACGCAGTCGCGTGCGACGACGCATCGATTAGGCTCCCGGGGGCACGCTTGCCGAGCCGGCGTATATCAGGCCAGTGTCGCAGCTACCGTGGTTCCCGCGGTTCAACGGAGGGGCAAAACTTGAAACTCGAAACGTTTCGCGAGCCTCGAGTCTTCTCTTTCTCTTCCTCTCGTGTCCAAATAACTGTCGCAACTAAACATTTTTCTTCTATCTTGCACGCTAATTTAAATTTATTTTTATTTATAATCTTAATCTTTCCCACCATATATATATATATATAGCTTAAATTTATTTACGGCTTATTCTTTTTGCAGCTTTGTTTTTCCTTATTTTCGAATTATCATCTTGTGTTTAACATAATTTTAATCTAATTGAAAATAACGTAACTTCTTTTTTTAACGTTATCGTGTACCTTATTCCTCTTCGGAGGGCCTGCCTTAGGATGAAACAAACGCTGTTCTCTTTTTCTTTCTCGTCATCGCAAAAACGTCGTGAGAATCAAAGAAATCTCGAGTCGAGGCGAAGCTCGAGGCGGCGCGAATCTCTCGCGCGATAATAATTGCGGAAAATAATAATGCGTAAGAATAATTCAGTTATCAGCTGTACTTTGAGGTGTAACGGCTGACGTAGTACGCTACGCTTGCCGCCGCCGCCGTCGTTATTACACGCAGGTCGCAATTAGGGAGAACGCGCGATATCGATAATTTCATTTTTTCCGAATGCATTCCGCCTCTCTCTCTCTCTCTCTCTCTCTCACACACACACACACACATAGACGGAAAGGAATTAAAACTAAGAGAGAGAGAGAGAGAGAGAGAGAGAGAGAGAGAGAGAGAGAGCCAATGAGGAAGTTCGTAGGAAAAAAAGGAGAAAAGGAGGTAAAAGGAATCACAGAGTCCCGGCTCCGTCGTCGCCACCTTGCTACGTTATTGGGCGGGGCTCTCGGCAACACGGTTGGGATAATAACTCGACCGGCGGCCTTACGAGCACCTGCTTCTTTTTCCCTTTTTTTTTCTCTCTCCTTTTCTTTCTCTCTCCCTGAGCGCGGAATTGATTTTTACCGAGGCGGCCGCCTTGAGTTTCCACCGCCGCGAAAGGCTCTCGCCTGCCGGCGATGGTCAAGATTACACACGTCGATTGCAATTAAAGCTTTATCGAGGCGACCGTACTAATTCGTAGTGTCGTAGGCATTCGGCTCGTTAGAGTTACCATTAAACACGCAATGCAAGAAACACAGGAATTACGCGTTCGCGTCTTAAGTGGATTATGGACGGGCGATGCCTCGGAAGAGTATAAGCGACGATTTGGAGAAGCGGCTGAAGTAGGAACGAACAAACGCTTCTCCTCTCCCTCTCCTCCCTGTCTGATCCGCATTTAAAAGCCGGAGCAGCTTTCATTCTCGTAATTAACAAGCGGTTCGTATCGCAAGATAAGCGCGTCGCTGGTAATACACGCTCGCTCTATTATTCACCTCTTCGCCCCTTCTTCTCTCGTTCCTTCAAATAGATGACGCATAGCGATCGGCAAAATAAATTGGTTACAAAAAACAGTTAAACTCAAGCAAATGACTAATTCTGTTGTGAAAGCGCACAGGGATGGAAGGAATAAAATGATTCGCTTATCGATGACGCTGATCGTTTTTGCCTCGCGGGCGCCAAACCGGTGCGATACAATTTCCGCGCGCGACGCGGAGAGAACGAGGAAGTTCCGCGATGAACGCGCCGCGTATTAACGCGGGCTATCTCGAAAGATTGTTATCACAATAATGAGGCGCGTCGGAAGAAGTAATAAGGCGTGTAATGAGCATCCATGCGTTGTTAAGGAGCCGCGATGTTAGGACTCGTGCGCAATCTCTCGATCACGCGCCGTAACGTAACGTCGTAACGTTCGATCGCGGAGGTAGTGTGTGAAATTAAGTCATGAGTGTTTGTAACAACATCGCTTCGTTCCGGAAATGTTGTAATAAGCATGCACGGCGATCCCCGTGAAAGGATACGACTCGCCGGGATGCGACGTAATGTTCGCGCGTAAACGCGTCCGCAAACACCATTTGGTGTGTGTAACTTTTCAATATATCTCATTTATATATACATATATATATATAATTTTCTGATATTTCAAATACTCAAAAAATACAAAAATATACAAAGATGTTTAAAAGAATACATGAGGATTTGTGGGTTATGATTAACAGCGCCATCGGAACAAGAATTTTTATCCAAAAGTGAGCTTATTCAAAAGTAATCGTGAGCAAGTATGTAAAGTTTCGATAAAAAGATAATTCATCCTATTTTCTATGACCCGATTTATTAAATTATAACGACGTTTTCTGCGATCGTTATCGGCAGCGTCGCTTTATCGCGGATTGCACGAAATGAGTCGGCTTTTCGGCGCACGCTGTAATAACAAGGGCTGTTGATCTTGTCCGCGTTCCCGTAACGGAGAATGCACGAGGATCACGCAACACCACCGCGATCTATAAATCGTAGCGGCAATCGGTATTGCTGAAATATGCATGATGCACTTCACTCGATGGCATGGCGCAGTTGACGTCGTGTCGCGTATCAAGTAACAAAAGTAACTGGGGTGACTGCGCGTTTATTCGGCGAACGAAATAAACAAACACCTCGAAATAAACTTCGACGGAATCCACGATATTATGAGTACACGTCGGGATCGATTGCACCCCCCTCCCCTCCAACGAATTATTAATCGGAAAAATCGCATATTTCACGTTCGTTTAACAGCTCTCATCACTTCATTCTTTGCACAAACTGTTATTTGACGCAAGTAGGTAAAACAAAACCAAAAAAATACGTTAAAAGATAATACAACTTTGTTTCGTATGTTTTTATCGTACATAATATCTTCCCTCCACGTTGCTCGCATGAGGGACGGAAAAGGTTTCGATCACGACAGGACAACGTTCTGATCTAACCAATGGCGAGAGAAAATTTATAAAAGGAAAAGAGATAGTCGAACGTAAACACGCGTGAAGCGACGTGCGAATATAGCGGGCGAGACGGTGCGTGGCGTCGCGACGGCGGGATGACGGAGGCGTCGTTCTCCGGCGGCGGACTCGTAATTAAAAATTTAAATTGCGTTTAAAACCTGCCGGGCTGCCGGCGGTACTTGCTTGCTCTCCGTCTTCCGTCTCCCGTCTTCGTCGTGACCGCCGTAACACCACTCCGCTTCGCACGCTTCCCCTCTCTCTCTCTCTCTCTTTCTCTTCTTCGTTCTCCTCCGAGGCGCACTTTTTCCAATTTTCTCGAACGAGTGGCACGCCTCGCTCTCGTTTATTTTCGCCCCCGTCGCTCGCTAACCGTAGCACCGTCTCGGAGCACCCCCGAGGTATACCTAATCGCTTAAGCTTATTACGGCAGAACGGACAAGGCGGTGGAATCAGCTTGGCCCTCGCGATGCAGCGGTGTTCCAGTAGCTCGCTCGCTCGCGGTGAGCCGCGCGCGGCGCGCCGTTCGGTTTCATCATTTTTAATTGATAGCGCACGCCAATCCCGTCTGTCGGATTTATTAGGCCGCTCGACGAGATGGTTTCGTAGGGACGGATGGGGCAGGGAGGGGGGAGGGTGGAAAACGGCAGCAGGGGTGGCTTTTATTGGGCGTGGCGGAACGCGGACGGGATTCCGTCGGCGGTCGCTGCGGTCTGATTGTCATCGGAAAAGCGCCGCGCGCGCGTTTTCCAGTCTCCTCTTCTCGCTGAAAATGTGCGCGCGCGCGCAAGTCTGTGTGTGTGTGTGGGGAGGGGGCTGCAAGCGCGTTTTTTATGGTCGTGACGATTATCGTCGGTCGCGGGTCACGTGTTTTACGCGCAATTGCGTTACAGGTCGCGTTATCAAGGCCGCGCGCGATGAGCCGGTCGGTGATGATTCGGTTAAAATATAATCCCGGCGACGTTTCTCCCGCAGATTACCTGCGTAACGTATAGGTGATGGACGGGGATAGGAGGGAGGAGGGAAAAGATTCGCGTTAACTTTCCTCTCTTTCTCTCTTTTTCGCGTCTCGGTTCTCTAAGCCGCGGCGATGGTAACCGATTCTAAGTCGTTTACTTGTTTCGCCGCGAACGATACGCGCGCTACGTGTAATGAAACTTTAATAGCGGAGGTATTATCGTGCCGCGCGCGGCGTAGCTCACGGACGAGCGTTATCGCGGTGCGTTTTTGCACAATTGAAAATAGAATCTGTTTTTGTTTCAATTTTACTTGGTGGATATGCGGCCGCGGCAATTTTAAAAGAATGCGACGTTAACACGCGCGCAGTTTTAAATACCCTACTGTTTGTCGTTCGTTAAAAGCACATTATTTTATACGCCGCGGCAAAAATATTTCGCCGCGAATCAATTAAGC